GTATTGTCATTATTATTATTATTATAACCATTATAATAAATATCATAATCATAATCATCACCATCAACATTTCTATCATAACCATTATCATCATTAACATTATCATTATAATCATCATCACTATGATGATTGTTATTATTAGTAACATCCATCATAGTGATGATGATTATAATCATTAACATTATCATTATAATCATCATCACTATGATGATTGTTATTATTAGTAACATCGTCATCACCATTATTTTTATTACCATTATTATACTCTTTACGAGTATCAACATTACTGTAATTACCACCACCATCAACATTATAATTATCGTCATTATCATTATTATCATTATCATTATCATCATTATCATTATTATCAGTATCATTATCATTATTATCATTATCTTTATTATCATTGTCATTATTATTACCATTATAATTGAAATTATTACTATTACGATAATCAACATTACTACAATTATTTTCATTCTAATTAACGTAATAATTACGATCACCATTATATATATTACTTTACTTACCATGACCATTATCATCGTCATCAATACTATTTAGGTCATTATTATGATCATTGCTATTGCTATTATTACTATAATAATCATAAATATTCTGATAATTATTATTATAATCATTATTTTTTTCTTAATCATTATTATANTTTTAAATATCAAAACTATTGTTATTATCATTACTATCATAACCATTACCATTATTATTATCGTTATTATCACTATCACTATCATCATAATTATTATCACTATCATAATTTTCAGAATCAGAAATATTATTATCATTAATAACATTACCATTACTATCACTATCGTAATTATCATCTTCACTATCACCACTAACATCATTAATGTCATCACCATTATTATTACCATTATAATCATTTTTTTCATTATCATTAGTATCCATCTCATAACGATTATTATAATTATCATTATAATCATTATCGTCATCATCAACACTATAACTATCACAACTACTACTATCTCTATCATAATCATTATTATCCTCATCACTATCTTCATTATAACCATCACCATTATCATTATCATCAGTATGATCATCATTATCATCATCTTCACCATCATTACCATGTGCATCACTGTTTTTATTATCTTACATATCATTATCATAATTATAACCGCCATCACCAGTAATATTATATTTTTTATCAAAATTATCATTATCATTGTCATTATCATCGTATATATTATGAATATTATCATAATGATTGATTTATTGATCATCACCATTCTCTTTAACACCATCACTATCATCATAATCATCATTATCATCATTATTATCATCATTGTCATCGTTATCTTCATTATTATCATTACCGTCAGCATCATGACATTCATTATCATCACCATCACCGTCATAATCATCTGCATCAATATCATCATTAGCGTCATCACCATCGTTATCATAATCACAATTATAATCTTCGTTATCATCATTATTATCATCATCGTCATAATCATCACCATTATTACCATCATAATCATTAAAATTATAATTATCGTAATTATTATTACTATTATTAAAAACATAATCATTATCTCTATTAATATAACCATCTTTATTATCATCCTAATCATTATCAACATTATTATCACTACATTATTATCATTCTCGTCATCATCAGTTTACTCATTATTATTATAATTATTGACATTATCATCATCTTTAAAATTATCATAACTTTCATCATCGTTATCATTATTATTACTATCAATATCATTACTATTACCATTAATATATAATCATTATCACTAATACTAGTATAACTATCACCATTATTATGAGCATCATCGTCATTAACATTATTATTATTAGTACTGCCATCAATGTTATCACTATAACCTTCATCATCATTATTATTATCAATTTCATCATAATGATCATCATCATTACCATTATTATTGATATAATGATCATTACCATCATCTTTATCACTATCACAATCATTATCATCATCATTATGATTATCATTATTATTGACATTGTTGACAGTATCATCGTCCTTAACACCATCATCATCGTCATCATTATCTTCATTCTTACTATTATCATCATAACGAACACCTTTATCACCTTTCTGATGATCATCATCATTATAATTGTTATCATTATCATAATTATCTTTATAACTATTATAACTATCACCATCATTGTCATTATCATCCTCATTATCATAATCATTATTACCATGATAATTACTATTACAATTATTCTTAATATTATCATTATTATTATTATTATTATTATTTTTATTATAATTACCATCATTACACTTAATATCATTGCTACTGTCATAACCATCACTATTATCATTAATAACACTATCATTATTATCACTATCATTCTTATTATCATTGTAACCATTAATATCGTCATTACTATTATCATTATAACCATTATTATCATCTTTATTATTATTAACTTCATCATCATTATCACCATCATCATCTTCAGCATCAAAACCATTATTATTATCACCATCATTGTCATTTCTATAATCGTTACTATCATCACTATCACTATTATTATTGTAATCATTATATTCATCTTTATTATTATCCTCATTATCGTCACTATAACCATTATCACCACTACTACCATGATTATTATTATGAACTTTAGTATTATAAGCATTTTTGATATTATCACTATTAACATCATCATCATTACCATTATCATTATTTTCATTATTATCCTTATCATCATAATTATTATCAAGATCATCATTATCGTCATCTTTACCATCATTATCATAACTAATTATTATTATAATTGTTACTATTATCACTAAAACTATTATAACCATCACCATCATTATTATTATCATCTTAACTATCATTATCATCATCACAAACACCATCACCAAAATCATTTAAACTTTTATTATTATTATCATTATTAATGTAATCATAA